AATTGACATCTGGTATTTAGTGGTTAGAGCTCATGATAGAGGTGGACAATATGACCTTGGCTTCATATCACTTTTTTGTGTGCTTTTTGCGGTAATGGTATTACAGTATTAAAATAGATTGGGGGCATTTAAATGCATGATTATGCATATATGGTTTCCTCTTTTCCCTCTCAGAAAAAGCCTGCAACGTGATACTCAACTCACTCCTGAGCACGACAAGAGAGAAAGATGTTTTTCTAAGTCACCATGTCTTTCAGTTCTCAGTATGTTGTAGCTTCTATCTTAATCTGTGTGGCTGCACGTTGTGTTTCTCTCCTGCAGAGTTGTGTTGACATACTGCCCAGAACAACACATTTCCTGATATGGCTCTTTCAAAATAGAAAAGTTTCTAAAGAATTGCCGGACATCAAAAAATATGTTTAACATGAAATTGACATTTTCGCTATAGAGGAGCTACACATTACAGCCGCTCCTTTGACCACGTGTCACAGCCAGAGCCAGCTTCTTTTAGCATCTTTGACTTAAGACGAGCGACTCATCAGATAATACATACCTTCAGCAGGTAGACCTGTTGTAATGGGGATGAAAATATGTCCCTTTCCCATGGCCAGGTTAAAGTTTGACACAGACAGAAAGAGAAATGCTGCAAGCGAGCAAGCACACTCACTTTATGTCAGAGAGGGGAGAGAGAGCACGTTTACATGATTGTTGTGACAATAATAATCTTCATTAGCCCTTTCCATCGTGCAGTTTCACAACAGTGCGCTATTAGACGTCATTAGGCCTTAAGACATTCATATTGATGAATATATTCTAAACTGGTAATGACAGTTTGTAAAAATCCATGTCATGGCAGAATGTAATACGAGTACTGGTATTGATACCAGTTTACTGCCCTCAACTATGCTACAATGACCATAAATGGTAAAACAATCTGAGGTCAAACAGAAATTCCATCATTTGAGCAGTGTCCAAACTCTTTGTTTGTTACACAAAGCTGTGACGTTGTTGAGGTTCTTTCCCTGGAACCAGGCAGCCTGGACTTCAACAAATCAAATAAACTATTTCACTGAAAAGAATTGCCTTTTCCAACTTAGCTCAGATCAAATAAATAATCAGATGAAAGCTTCATTGCTGTGTACTAAACAGTTGAAGTATATATGTGTGTGCTTTCTTTGTTATTGATTAGACTTCTGAGACTTTATTGTTGCTCTGTTTCTTGCTCAATATTGCTCATTGTGGTTGTATGAGGTCTTTGTTTATAGTTCATGCATACTCACTGGTCCCTGCATTGATCGCATATGCACCATTGATTTGCAGATTAAATTAAACCACTTGGATGACATTTGTGTCCTTCAATGTATTCATGTAATAATGTACTTTAAGGGCAGCTGCGGATCTTGTGTTGGCATTTAGTATCTTAAAGCCATGCAGGTTTTCTTTTACTGCTTTGATGTTAGTGTTAAATTCAAGTGTGGATAGTGTTTAGATTTGATTTACCAATTGATTGAATGATTTGTTCCATAAATGTGGAAGTCTGGATGTTTAACTTCAGCCTGGAGAAAGGTCTGAAAATCTGTGTTTCAGGCATTCAGGGGCTGCGAGCCAAGCTGCTGCTGACTTGAGCTCAGCATGTTTATCTGATTACTTAAGACCCAGATGTGTGAGTAGGATGACTGAAATGTTTTGTTTTATAAATAATATTGTTTAAACAACCAGTGGTGGCAATAAAATTGATTTAAGAGTTTGGTGTGGCACTTCATTGGAAAATGTAATCTTGATTTTTAACAGTCAAACTGTATTCAAATGAAAATATCCTGAGTTGTGTTTCAGACAGACATGTGTGAGTGTTCTGGAGTTTGAAAGTGAATTCTGATAGTGGGACATGTTTTTGTTCATGCTCAGAAAGTACTGAGGTTTGATGCTGCTCTGCTACAGGATCAATACTTCGTCTTCTCACTGTACATTTATTTTTTTCTACATCCTTCCTCTCAAAGCCACACCACCGTATCTCATCATCGTCCATCGCCCGCTCCCGCTCTGCCTGAACGTCAGATCTAACAGTGGAGAGCTGAGCTGAGCGGATCAACTGCCTCACTGCCCACTCAGGCTGCAATTGTGTGTGTATGTGTGTGTGAGACGCGTTCTGCTTTAATGAGCTATTGTTTGCCAGAGTCGCCACTCGAGGGGAGTCTGTCGCTCTGCTGACCCCTGACCCCGCCATGCGGCACAAAACTCAATTAAGCACGCCTCATCAGGGCTGTTTGTGTGTTCCCTGGTGTCTCTGTCCTCCTCCTCACACAACAAAGATAAATCTATCGAGTGGTTAGCAATTAGTGGCTTATATATTCAGACTTGGTGTGTTTTTTAATCATCTGAACCTGTTTTTATAGTGTCGGACAATTTGGTCGTCGCAGGCATTACATTATTTTCCCTCGTAATGCTGGTTTGGCCGCGCAGTCTAACTGTCAGGGTGATTTCACACACATCCAGGGAGTGATTCTGGACCCCCGCCATGACCCGTCTCCATCCGTCCTCCATCCCTCCCTCTGTCCAAGCCAACCCTTGCTTCTGCTCTCCCCCATCCCTAAGAACTATACCTCCCTCTCCATCTTCAAACTGTAAAGCCTCCAAAAGTCTTGTTTACTTCCAACAATTGTCTCACTGTCGAGCATTTTTTTTCAAAAGTTGTAGTCTTAATTCAAGTGGAACAATCTGCTTTTACACACACAGAATGAGATGTATTTGTGATGACTGCGGCTCATCGATCACGGCTGAACAGGCTGCAAATTGGTCCATTCCAGTCACCAGCTGGTCAATCAGTGCACCTCTAATGGGAATTACTACTCATTTTTGTGGACTGAATGGAAGAAGTAACATTCTGTCGTGTGCCGCTTAGTAGTGGGCTACTCCATTGTCTGTTTAAGGTTGCCCATGGTGTAGAAAATAAGCCCATTCTTCTTTGATTTATTATCCTAATTAGTTTAATCGTCTCAAACTCTAGTTTAAACTCTTCTTCAATACAGCTTGATGTTGATTTTATAAAATTTGATCCTCTTTAGAATAGAACAGATGATAAAGCAGGACTCGTTTCAGGCCATGGCTAACTAGTGATTGACAACTTAAAAACTGAACTGCAATCCAAACAATGATTTTTTCAATGTTATGTTGTTCCAAAAGACCATCAGAAGAGTGGGTTGTTCCATTTTTAGTATGTACGATTTGTTTAAAGCCTTTTTTAAGATAGCAAAAAATGACATTGCAAGTATATGAAAGTTACAGAGAACAGCAAATGCAGCTTGCTGACCTTCAATTCGTGTTAGACAGACAGTTTGGAAAAATAACTGTTGAAAGTTGTTTCTGATTCAGCTTTGCTGTCTCATTTTCTATTGTTGACATGCATTTTGCCTCTTGTTTTTCTTTGCAGTGGTGTTTCTTTGCGTTTCCATGGATAAAGTGTAGATCCGGTTCACACACCCAAACCTCAACATCCACTATTTTTCCCTCTCTGTGACTATCTTTCAGTCTTTCTTTCCCTCTTTTGCTCAGGATAGGACAAGGTCACTCTCTGCTCCACCCTTTACAGTAGTCCAGGAACATGACACTTGACACTTGACACACCCACACACACACACACACACACACACACACACACACACACACACACACAGGTACGCACACAGGGTTCAGTTTCAGTCTCCTTGCACAAAGCCTCGTGGGAAGAGTGACATCATCCCCTCTCTTTCTTCGCAGATGTCCATCAAGGTAGACAATGAGGTCATAGGGTTAAACCTGACTGTGCCAGATAGTTGCCTGCTCTGGTACAATATCAAATAACACACACTAACAAAAGCTAATACCTGAAGTCTGTGTACAAAGATACCTGCAAAAACTGCTGGAAATTACAATATAGTGAACCCTTAAAGAGAGCATTTAAAAAAAAAATGAAATATGTCTTGAGGACAAACATGAGGCTCCCGTCAAACAGCAACTGTTTCATCTCAGCAGGAATGTCATACTGTTTGTCTGACCAAATGTCTAAACAATTTCTTTGGTTTTTCTTGTAACTTCAAACTGACGATAGTGAATTCAAAGTTAGAAAAAGACAGGTCGTCCTCAAAGTGAACTCCCACTGAAAAGACTTTCACAGTGGGGAATCAGGGAATATAACTTCAGAGAACAAGAATAATGTAGTGTATTGTAGAAGGATCTTTTTTACAGGCGAAATACATAGAGGTCCTTGTCTTGGCATTATCCAACTTTTTGTACAGAAATCAAATTAAATAACTTCACTTTAAAGAGAGTCCTGGTTGTCAAATTGGTTATTGGATGGTTCAAATATTAGCAGATGTCAGTGGAGCTTCATCTTCTGCACATCAAACACTAATCAAGGCTTTTGGGCTGTAGACTATGGACCTAAAGTGCCAGCTTCATCTTGAAAGTGGATTTATGTCAGAATTCTTCATTGAGGATCAACATTGTGGAATAATTATCCCACAAATATATTTTGTGTTTTAGAAGTTTAACTCTGTACAAGTTCTACTGAGTATTGAAGTTTTGTATTTTATGATTAGAAAGATTGTTCCTTCTGTGAGGTTAAAAAACAATGTAATTTAATAGATTCATCGACATCCTCCTGCAGTAAAACGCATGCAGGATGCTTGCAAGTTTGTCAGCAGCATCCTTTATTGTTACGTTTGTGTTTCTTTTGTACTTTTTGGGGTGATAGCTTTTCAAATAGAATTTTTCTGAAATGTCACGATATTCCCATGTTTATTTTGTGTCTGTATTCTTTCAAAGTTTTGTGTTAATGTGAGCAACCTGAGACTATTTATGTGTTTTTTTTAACACGCACATAAGTATGTATTTAAATAATGTTCTAGTCCATGTTGTCTTGCACATCTCTCAGGTACTCAATGTTTGAATGCATTCATGTTCCCCACTGTCCTCAATTTAGTTTCCTGTTTTTTAATCTGCTGTTGTCTTCTTTTGTTTTACAGTGATCTGAATGGAAACAATCTGACAGTGATCAGCAAGACCGACTTCTCTGGTCTCAAACACCTCAGAGTCCTGTAAGTCATAGCCCGTTTAATTTTTCGGCACATTCTGGTCTCAAGGCAGTTTGTGACTTAGTTACAAAAGTAATGCATAGCATGGGCACAAACTCCCTTTTTTCTGTGTTGATCAGCACAAATGACATGGCAATGTAATTAAAAAAACAAGTATAGTGTACACAAACACATATTTTGAAATGATGATAGTGTAAAATATAGAGCCTGAATGTCCACTGCCAGTGGAGACAGACTGGTCGAACAACAAAGGACTTGCACGAAGGAAACATGTAGCCATGTAATGCAGGAAACCATTGACTGTATAGAAAGACGGATGACACATCTCAAACTCTGCCTGTTGTTCAGTGAAGCCCAAATACCTCTGTGCTGGCACCAAATTTACAAATTTGTAGTCAGAGTGTGTGCAGTAGAGATCAGCTGTAGTATTGACATCATACTACTGGTGCTAACTAAAACACACATTAGAAATACAGACAAAATCTCAAAAATCCCTCAAGTTGGTATACAGTACATCAAAACGTCTGCTCTGACAATGACAGCTGTCAATCATAGCATTATATCACTAATTATAGCATCAAAGTTCTTATTAAAACTGAACATCTCTGAAAATAAACAGTCAAGCGTATATCAACATAAAAACCAATTATAATGACAGACCCATTGTTTGAAAAAAAATTCTTTGGCATGTATTCTGACTTATCTCATCTGTTAACATGGAGGAGGCGGGCTTTATGATCTATACTACAGAGAGTCAGTCGGGAGAGCTCTAACTATCTGCAACATTTAGTTATGGCTTTGTTATAGATATCTTTACTTTGGGTAGGTTTAGGCACCACATTTACTTCTTTAGGTTTCCAAAAAAAGATTTAACCTAAAGCTAAAATAATACTTTTTAATAAATAATACTGTATTGATTGTTGGTTTCACACAGGACACAAAAAGGTTATCTGTGCACGGTCCACAGAACGAAAGTACGAAATGTACAGAATAGTCGTCCACGTTTTCTCAGTTAGACATACAACCAGTTTTCCACTTGCTAACCTGTTTGTGGATCGTTTGGTATATGTGACGTAATCTGTCAACTGGAAGGTCCAATAGTAACTAGCTGAAGGTGGCATATCGCTACCTACCTACCTGCCCATAAATCATGCTTGAATACTGGGACAAGTACAGTAGTCCAACAAAATGGCCTAATCTAGCTGTTAATGTAGCTCAACTTAAAAGTAAAAAAGTAAAATATGCCCCCTTGTGCATGAATCCTTGTATTTGAAAAAGCTCAACTTTTCCCATGACGGCCAGTAGACTGGGTTTTTTAGTTACATATGCCTTTAGTTTGTACAATTTTGCTAATTTAATTTTAGAAACATATCTTCTAGGACAGCTGTAAATTGGTCCAATATATTTGTGAGTTACTAGTTTTCCTTTCTGTTTTCTTGAGTTCAAACAGATGCATTTGTGGTTGTAAAGAGTCCTGAACTCATCGTACAGCTGCAAGGCTTTGTTTTCTGAACAACAGCTTGTTATGTATGCAGAGATTCTTTCCCACATTTCTTTGTTAGTTTCAGTCTGGTAGGAATGTGGGGATCTTTCCTGTGGTTCCATCAAAAAAACCCAAGGGAACAGAAGGATGCTTTAGCTTAGCAGCGACACATGAGCCACCCAGAGGTGCTTGTTGGGTGTCTGTGTCACTCACATTTACGACAGGAAGGAGGTTTATCCGTGACCTTTTAGCCCCAAAACATAGTGCCCTGTGGGAGAGGCTGATCTGATGGAGGTTTCCAGTGTTAACCTGAGGTCTTAGACTGTGTGAGTATCACTGATGGACATGAGGTGTGAATGGGATGACATGCCAGGAGACTAATGACATCTCCAGAGGCACACTCAAAACAGATTAGCAGCCTGCTGGGAGCCCAGGGCTCGTTTCTGTCAGGAGGGGATTGAGTGTTACACCAATGGTTTATGATGCAGAAGTCTGCAGAGTGTATTAATCAAACGTACCGACTGAAGCAGTAACTGTGGGAAATAATGCGTGCTGAGGCTTTGTTTTTCCAATTTGATTAATGACAGGATGAAAAACATTACATGCAGTCTTTTGTTGTGGTTTGTGCAGACACTCACTTTAATAAATCATCAGTCAGAGATTCTCCAATTTACTTCTAATGTCTGCATAAAATAATTAAATGTTCTGTTTTTTTCCCTAATTCACCTGATGACAAATTGATGCCACCTGCTTGCCGATACTAGATTCATATACTTATGACATCGCTGTTTATTGCTAGTATGTGCTGATATTTTCCAGATTAACAGTTAAGGCATAAATAATGTTTTCATGAAATCAATGATATTTTTTTAATCTTTTTTATTTTTTTTGATGGGGAAAATAAAGCTATGAGGACCTATTTACTGCATTTCCATTTGCATTCCTTGAACACCATTTACAAATAAGTCTCTGAATAAATAGTGACACAGCTTTAATTGCAGTTATGCCTAACGTGTGTTTTAAAGTAAAAAAATAGTCAGGGTTGTACCTCAGAATTTCTTAGTTGAATCAGATTTACTCTTAATTAAAGGCATTTAACTTTAAGTTCTGTATGTTTTGATTTCACGCTGTATATACATTTCTGTCATATCAGCCTGAGTCAGAATACTTTCCAGCTAATGTCTTATTTTATAGTAGATGTCTGGATCTTAAATGATCACAAAAAATAAGCTGATGGAGAAACCCTGATTTTTAATTTAGTGTTATTACTGTTTGAACGGCCTGGTTACATTTGTTTTGGAGAGGATGTGGATAATTCTTCTGTTAGTACATAGATGAATGCTAACCTTGGAACAATCTGAGCACCTTAAAATAGCTAGCTAGTGGTTGTTCAGCTCTTTTAATAAAAATAATGTATGATGAATACTGATAAATATTGAGCAGAGTCAGTTGAAAGTTCGCTGTAGCTTGTATTATTTACTGCAAACACATGCACATTGACAGTATTTCTTTCCTTTTTATTGCAGTCATCTGATGGAAAACCAGATCAGTGTCATTGAGAGAGGAACGTTTGATGAGCTGAAGGAGCTGGAGAGACTGTGAGAGACAATCACACACATATGTACACTTTGCATGAGAGAATGAGGCTTACATTTCCACTTTAATGACATACATGACATTTTCATTTTTAATTTTGTCCTTCCAGGCGCCTCAACAAAAACCGTCTCAGCCAGATTCCAGAGCTGCTGTTTCAGAAGAATGAAGCCCTGTCTCGACTGTGAGTACTGTCTACCAAAGCTCTGTAACGTTCTGTCTTCTACTTTAAAGCTGACATTTGAATCATGTCTTTGTAACCCTACTCCATCTGTTCGACATGAAGTGTTTTTTTCATGTGCAAAAACAGCTTGTTGGACAAACTATGGTTATAGTGTGTATGGGTGTCACAGGTCCTGAATCCGGGTCAGGAGCTGTTGATAGCTGACACATAAAATCATACGATGGGTGTTGAGAAGGATTTCTGATTATTTGCCTTCAGCTCAAGTCGATCCATATTTCAGTGGACAACGTCTGGTCTGCTGAAGTGTATGTATTGTCCATGCACAGCCCTAGTTACTCTCCAGACATGGTGTATCCTTATTTTTCACATTTTTTTAACTCTTTCTGTGCAAACTGCAGCATACAATTTAAAAAATGAAATGTAGGGGGTCCAAAGCTGTAATTTTTTTTTTCCATTTTATATGTGTGACAAACTTAAGCACAAAGATGTCTTTGTGCAGCTCAAAAATGTCATGTTTGTTGAATAATGTCTAATGTTAAAAAATATCTTCCTTTGATCCACTGATGAAATAGAACTGGATACCACTTAGCACTCAACTGTGTACCTTCCTTTCATACCCCAACACTGTAGAATAATACATTTTGACTGTATTTTAGCTAATACTTGTCAATGGATATTTACAATCGCTGATATTTGTTCAGTTTTAAGCAATAAACCACATAAACAGAAGAGCAACAGAGACATTTGCTGCAGCTTCATTGGCTGTGTGGCTGCTTCTCTTTGGATCAAAAATTGACCCATTTTTCTCACCTAGAAAACACCGCAAATAGTCTCCCCTCGGACAGCAGACGCAACACAAATCACTCACAGACTCCCACAGGAGCAGTGAGCCCATCCTAGCTTTAATTTGATGCGCACACACAGAAAAACACACAAACAGAGCTTCTTTTTTTGTTTAATAACCGAGACTTGGACACAGTTGGTTACTATGCGGCTAATTATGTCACACGCACGCACGCACGCACGCACACACACACACACGCACACACACACACAGCTCTGAAGTCTTTGTGTGTTTGTAGTGAAGGATAGGGAAGGTGTCTACTACTGCCTGGAGACGCCTGGATACACGTACACAAAAACACTGCAGGACCGAGAGAAAGCAAAGCAATCACAGCAGAGCTATCTAATTAACTTTTTTTTCCATGACTGATTTATGGCATTAATGACAAGGGTGAGCTTTTTCTTCACCTGTGTGAGTGTGTTTGTGTATGATGTTTGACACAGACACTCTCACTTTTCCTCTTTTCCTCTGAGCACAGAGGGTGAGAGAGTGAAGAGGAAAACAGCCATGAAAAATATAGCTTATTACAGAAGGAAGGTGTGTGTGTGTGTGTGCGTGCGTGCGTGTGCGTGTGTGAAGGTGGGATAGACACATTCATGAGCAGTAAATAGGAAAAGAAAATGTGTTTGTGTGTGTGTGTCAGTTGGACTGTGGCTATGTGTGTCCGTCCTGATTATTTGCTTTTTGCCTTTTTGGCAATTTCACACTATGTCTCCCATCAGGGAAAGCCAAGATGGGACTTGGCGTGTTCGATCAATCGGCACATACACACACACACACACAAACACACACTTGCACACATCCATAAAAATGGCACACACAAACACACACGGTGCAAAGCCATTAGCACTTCCTCCAGCAGGAGTCATTCATTTCCTCCTGCTGTGTTGATGGACTCTCTAAAGCCTGATATCCCTTGGAAACACAAACACACACACACACACACACACACACACGCACACACACACACGCACACACTCATCTGCTTCTTGATTTGTGTGAATTTCCTTCCCTTGCTTAATTGCCTTCCTTAAATTAGTCACCTCTTGTATCCATTGCTTTCTCCACATTTTCACTCCTCCTCCCTTGAACGGGTTCTTTTGTTCCTCTTTGGTATTCAGGGTTTTGATGTTCTGATTTTGCAATATTATTCATTAAACAAAACATTATTTTGCTGTTTATCTCAGACAGGTGATAAACAGCATTCCAAGTCAAGATAAGATAAAGATGAACTAAGTGAGAGTGATTTTGTGTTGTCTACATGTGTTTGCTTGTGCACAACATGGGTTTTTTGTGCTGTTACCTCTAGCTGCTTGGCCTTTATTCCAGGAGTGAACAGCTGAAGTCAGGTGATGTCGTTTAAAGGACGATTGGTCAGTCGGAGTTGAGCAGTCGGTGGAGAAAATAGGATAAAACAAACGCAGGAAATACATACCGGAATTCCCCTTTAGAAAAATGGAAAATTGAAACACTAACCTCAATCCAAATAAACTCAAGTCTGAGTGGACTGCTGATGAAATGCAGTCTGAATAGATTTGAGTCCAGAGAAGCAGTCATGTTACTTCTGTTTATTTATAAACCGTTTGGGGCTAATGCATGTGTTACCTGATCCACCTCTGAACCAGTTGGCAAACCTCTGATTAAAACAAATCGATCTGAACCGCCACATTCAACACTTTCATCACAAAGTTCTTGTCAGCTTTGCAGGAATCTTTTTGACTCCTGCAGTATTACATTTGCTCCAAAAATGCAATGTTTGTTCATTTAGAACTACAGTATTATAAAGTACTAAATAATGCTCTTTAACTTTCCATGTTGTGTGTCATATAGGAGGCTTTATTCTCCATTTCAATACTTCCTGCAGCAGTGATGCTCACAACAACCGCTCAGACCATCAAATAAAAAAAGCAAGTCAAGTACAAAAAGCCAGATTAAGTAACAATGTCATGGTTGATGGTGAGTGGTTAATCAATCAGTCCCTTTTTATTTATATAGCTCCAAATCCCCAAAACATTTATCTCATGACAGATTAGGTCTAGACCCTTCTCTTTGTGATACATTTCCATAGACATTACAATATCTCTCCACTGGCTTCCCAGGTGTTGTGTATGTGTATGTTGATGTTTGTTCTTTATTTTTTAGCTTGTGTCATTGCCTGTGTTTCTTTTATCTACTTTGTAAAGCACTTTGTGACATCTGCTCATGAAAGGTGCTATATAAAAAAAGAAACTATTGAGCAGGTGCTAGAAAGAATACAAATAAGCCCTTTTTGAGAAAGCTTAAAACAGTCCCTAAAAAAACTACCATATGTATAGTGAGATGCCAAAGGTTGACAATGCTTCATAATGAGAAAAATAGTGATAAGTACCTGTCAGACAATTGTGGGATTACTACAAATAAGTTGTGCATAACTTTTTTTAGATTATATCAATGTGTGTTTAAGGTTAAATGCAAAGTTGGTAATTTTCTCCAGATACGCTTTTTAAGATTTTGGTTAAAATTGTTTTTAGGTCCTGACAGAAATTAAAAGTAAATGTGCTCTTAAAAATGAACAAAGAAAATCCGTCATCTGCAGCAGCTGGAAGCATATCAAAACTTTGACCAATGTCTGCCACAAGGTACCAATATGATGGACATATCAGGCCTCCCTCTCTCTTGCTCGTTCTTTACCCCTTGGGTGCACTAGCCCTCACTTAAAGCGCAGGGTTTTTTGTTGTTGTTTTTTTTTTTATGTATTACGATCAAGTTTAGTGTTTACTTGCTGCTGAATAAGACATGGGACGACATAGTTTCTAGAGAATGCAAATGATGAGCTGAGGTCTGCACCCTGCATGTGAGTGAGGGGCGTGGCATTTGAAGGAGCAAAGAGGGGAGGGGGTGGATGTAGACAGAGTACTAAGGGAATGGTACTTTCAAAATCATGCTAGATTTGGAAATGAACAACCATGCCTTTAATGTGTCACATCACGGCTTGGACTTACAGAAATGTTGACACTGGATTTCGTGTTCAATATGATCTTATTCCTAACTAGTTATCTTAATTTATTTCTGAACGTTGTCATAAAAAAGTTCTCAGTGATGGCGAAGCTTCTACAGTCAGGTTACTCACAGTCATCCCAGCTCTCTCCTTCAGTCTTTGCTCGATTGTCTTCCTCCCATTAGCCCTCTTTCTGCCTCTCTTTCCTTGATACCCTCATCTTGCGGCCTCATCCACTTCTCTTGATTCCTTCACTCTCATCTCTCACTCTCCAGTCTTTTGTTGGCTATGAGTGGTTGTGAGAAGACTTTGCTCCACACCCAGTAACAGTCCTTTGTGTGTCCTGGTGATATCCAGAGGCAGCCTGAATGTGTATGTGTGTGTGTGTGCACGCTTGAACCATGCCCCCTCCCAGCACCTCCCTTTAGCCCAGGGGAACCCAAGAATTATGGGAGTGTAGCTTGATGTGTCTCTCACTCACTCATTTTATGCTCACCTTGACCTGGAGGTGAACTGTGTGGTTAGCCAGTGGAAACAGAGCTCCAGCAGGAAGGATGGGATGGAATTTACACCTTCAGACACTTCAGCAGAGAAGTGCTAATTCATGTAAACTCTGGGCTTCAGAAGGGGATAACCAGAGACCAGTGTATAAAAAGTACATGCAGGTTGAAAATACAGAAGTGCATTGCTTCCATTCTCCAAATTCTTTAATAATGACATACAATACAAAGCCAGTTTTTTGATCGCTAATTTGGCATTCAAGTTGATATTTCAGTTAACATGCTTTTGGTGGCACTTTGATTACCAAGCTAGCACAACTGTTAGCCGTGCTCAGTGTTTTCTTCCCCCATGGCGCTCTCAAACTCAACCAACCTCTGATCCACACATGGTCACTTCTGTGTCCCTTAAAGCAAAATGGCATTGACCTGAATTCCAAACCTTTGGGTTCTAGTAGTCCACAAACATGTGGGTGTTGTAAAGTTGGAAATCATCTTAAAAAGTAAACACCACTTTAAAGCAAGATTCCCTTATAAAACATGTTTCCATGGTGAGTAAAGTCTTCACAAATCTTAACACAAGCCTTCCTGGTTAAAGGTGCTTTTCTGCCACTAGTAGTGCTATGGAGCTGTTGCTATGAGCAGAGTGGAGTCTTCATCGTATCTCATAAAAATGCACCAG